TTTGGTTTAGGAATAAGGCGTAAATTGAGTTTAGGTTAGTTTTAGGGTCAGGTTGGTACCTGTGAGGTTAGTTTTAGGGTCAGKTTGGTACCTGTGAGGTTAGTTTTAGGGTCAGGTTGGTACCTGTGAGGTTAGTTTTAGGGTTGGTAGTCGGGGTTAGGCTGTAGAAATCCCTGGAAATGAATTGAAGTCAGTGAACGGTCCTACTAAAGATAGGAATGCGACCCAGGGTGGATGCATGTGTGTCTGTTTTTTTAAGGTCCTTTGCAAGAATTATCCAAAYGGCCATAACTCCATCCCTTCTAAACACAAAATGATCTCTAGCATAAATAGTGTTGATATTCATTTYTTGAAATAATGTTAAGCCTTTAATTCTTGTCTATATAACATCATATTGTTTCACTAAAAGGTGGGAAAACATTTTTGTCTTTCTTACTGACAGCAGTGGTTCAGCTTAGTCAGTGGTGGGTTGCACTAATCTAAATATTAGCTGCACTAACCCTAAAACACKAACTCAAATATTCAGGTSCCCTAATTCTAAAGCACTAACACACTGAAAAATTAAGCAAAAGCTAATTCTAAAKCACTAAKATGATCCAGTTGACACATGAAACATTCTTCAGTCAACATGAGACAATATTTRCTGTGTTGTCACTTAGTGCCCTTGGYGGGCYGAATGGGAGTCACACACAGGCCACATTTGGCCCGTGGGCCTGAAGTTTGACACGTGACCTTGTAGATACACACATATGAACAAAATGTAYGACAGCTTTCACCCTCAACTGTGAACAATAATGTTGATCAATAACATTTAAAGACATCAGTTAGTGCTTCTTTTAGCCCATAAATTTAAAGTGCTAATCCACTAATGAATTTAAAAACTAGCAAAAGCCCTAAAGCACTAATAAATAAATTARCTATCCTCTTAGTGCTTTAGGGGAACTGTGTCCACCACTGAGCTTAGTTACAAGAGGSACGTGATGAAGAGCAACACCACTAAAACAACTCATTCTTACTGTCACACCCTGAGCCATGTTTAGGCCTAATGTTGAGCTATTAAAAAAAATAATCAAAGCCGAGACTATTCCCTCTGGTCACTTTAATTAATACAAGCCAAGATAGCTTTCAGACATCAAGAAGGGCTGTACAAAGAATATGAGAACAAAAGGTAGGATAAATAAGAGAATAGGTAGAAACAATTACTTGACGTCAGACAAAATGACAGACAGAAAGTATCATACAGYGAAAAAAAATCATCAGAAGCAGTTGCTGATAATGAGCCCATGATGTAAATTTAGAACTCAACACTCTGTGTTGAAGCAGAAAAGAAAACCATGTAAAACACAGCATCATGCTACAATAACACATCCTTCACTTTGAAGTGCGTGTGAATCATCTGACTGCATGTGTGCAGCAGAGACACTGTGGCCAAGCAGGAGTAATCGCTTAAAATAGGCCACATTAACCTGCAGTCCTCTGGGGCTGTGCCCCGCTTTTATACAAGAATGAAAACCACACACCGCTGCCTACACACAAGCATGACACGCACGGTTTAAAACAATGTCACAGACACACACTCTAACTACAAAATATACCTTCTTCATTGACTTGTGCATTTGCTGGCTTGATAAGAGAAGACAGYGATGTAAGGAAACAACGGCCAACAAGAAACACCAAATCAAGCTATATTAATCTTAGCTGTACTGCACTTGGACTGCAATGTACAGAGCAGATGATTATAGGAAATAGATGTTTTGCTTATTTGTTTAGCCATAGTTTTTGGAGCTTTTGGTAAATCTATTGTTTACTTGCTACAAAAATATTGTAATGGGACGTTTGCAAGCCTTTGTTTCATTTTATGAAAGAGTTGTCTGCTCAGTAAACCTGCCAGAGCTTACTGGCTGCCAAAGCTTTAAAAAAAAAAAACTCCACCTCAACAATCCTGATAACCTTCCTTCCTTCCTTACTTTCTTCTTTACTTCCTTACTTACTTCCCTACTTACTTCTTTACTTACTTATTCCTTCCTTCCTTCCTTCCTTCCTTCCTTCCTTCCTTCCTTCCTTCCTTCCTTCCTTCCTTCCTTCCTTTTTTTTACTTCTTTCCTTCCTTCCTTACATACTTCCTTCCTACCTTACTAATTTACTTCCCTTCTTACTTCTTTACTTACTTACTTACATCCTTCCTTCCTTCCTTCCTTAATCCTTCCTTATTTACTTCTCTACGTATTTCCTTAATTACTTCCTACCTTACTTACTTATTTACTTCCTTACTTCCCTCCTTACTTCCTTCCATACTTCCCTTTTTACATTCTTCCTTCTTTCCTTCCTTCCTTACATACATCCTTCCTGCCTTACTTATTTACTTACATCCTTCCTTCTTTCCTTCCTTCCTTACATACATCCTTCCTGCCTTACTTATTTACTTACATCCTTCCTTCTTTCCTTCATTCCTTACATACATCCTTCCTGCCTTACTTATTTACTTACATCCCTCCTTCTGTCTTTCCTTCCTTCTTTCCTTCCTTCCTTCCTTCCTTCCTTCCTTCCTTCCTTCCTTCCTTCCTTCCTTATTTTGGCAGGCCATAAACACTTTGCTCCATGTTTAAACCCATTGACTGCAACTGGTAATTTCTGATGCTGTATACCACAAATGTCTTGCTTTCCTTTCCAGCAAAAGAGTGACTTATAGCATTAATTACATTGAACCATGCCAGCTTAATGAACCAATAATGTGAGCTTGCCATTGCCAAGAAAAGGCACTGTGACATAATTAATGACTTACCGCTCACTATGTCAGCACAACCCTTATCAGTTCATTACGAGCCATCACTCAGTGCATTATGAATCCTTACCAGCCAGTCTCTCTCTCTCTCWCACACTCTTTTTTTAACTGCACATACAATTCACGACTTTTTAACATAGTGTATTAAAAAATAGTGTATTCACACCAAGCCTTGATTCGGTGGCACAGTGAGTTAAAGTTGACATTCATCGTTGGTACTTTTGATTTACCTCGCTAGTTACAGCCAAAGAAATTATGTCAAATGAGGTGTATAAAATTTATGCTTCTATACGCTGATGGGGAGTTTAGCTCCAACAACAAGAACATTTATTAAAAAACTCCATCATAGGAAAAACGGAATGAAAAAYGTCAAGCACTGTGTGCTGTTTAATCTGGAGTCTATTGATTTTTTTAACTGCAGAGCAAAATTTCTTATTGAGCTTTTTTTTTCTAAACACCTATTAAATGAGCATACACACAGAACAAGCCAAATTATGTATACCATTGAATTTTCTGTGTGGATTTGTGTGATCTATAAAATTCATTTCTGCCTGCTATAACAATATTCTTGTGTTACAGCAGGAAACGTTAATAGTACTTAAATCCCATAAAATCATGAGTAAGACCTAATTATCTGCTTCTAAAATATTCTTCAAAAGCTAAGCACTGTGCTTAAAGGAAATTCCCGCTCTTTTTAAGTGAGCCAAACTGCCACTCTTCAGTGACATATTTGCTGTCATTATTCTGACCCAAATGCTAATGATAGCTATTAAGTCTAGGCTGACTAATGACACTGAAGATGCTGTGAATGCAGCGTGACCAACTTGGGTGTTTTTATGTTGGTATGATACCATAATGGGATTAACATGGCATACCTAAGCCCACATTGAGATAAGCTCATTGAGGCCCTATTAAAAATACATTGCTGGCAACAACACAGTGGCAGAGGGAGCAGTAAAATGACTGTGTGTTTGATCGAAACTGTGCTCAATTCTGCTTCACTGCTTATATAAAAACAAACAATGCACACAAATCTGAATTTCACAATAGCAGACAATTTGATAAAACTACATTGTATAATTCTTACATTTTAGTCTCACTTTTGTCTGCTGCAGTGTTAAAATTACTTGGGATTGACTATTAAACGACTTGAATGGAACTCGGAAAAGAAAACCTCAATTTGTAGAAAAGAATATGTCACGTATTTGTTAGAAAACCACCATTTCATCCTACTTTTATCCACATGGGTGTTTCTGTGGGACTCGGGGATCTCTGAGGTTGGTCCTCAGATCTGCTGGAGCCACTCTCCTGGTTTAGGGGTCAGAGCACTGAGTAATCTGATGACAGATWAGCTGATGATCTTGTTTTTCCACTTTTCTATTTCCTCCTTTTGCACTGAAAATTTTCATGATTCTTCTATTTAATGTTTCAGCCACTAGGGACTGCTACATCTATCATAGCATGATTAATAATATCTCACAGGGCTGTGAACAGTGGTGGCAATCCAAACTTTATTCTATACTGCAATAAAAAAAATGCAACTTGAAGTTGCAGTCTCAAACTATGCCGCCACATCCATGTTTGTAATTTAATCTACGGGCGTACACCTCCAAAATAAACATAAGAAAACCTGGATAGGCTTTAATAGTTATTATTATTTATTATC